GGGGGGGCTAAGAAGACCAGGCCGGCCCGTTCTTCCGTCTTCCTGATTTGACAGCTGCGCCACACGCCCCTGGAATCCTCTGTCGCCATCCATATTCCGTTGCTAATGCCGCCCTCGCCCCGCTACGCTACGCTGGTTCCAGACGCGCGAGGCGCTGTACGCCCAGCTCAACTGTCACAACATGATGAACGAGGACGCGACGCTCGGCCCCAGCTCGGGCTCGGGCTCCGGCATGCCGCCCGGAAGCGGGCAGGACGCGGAGCAGGCGGAGCCGGCGGACCAGTCGGAGCAGCCGGAACCGGAGGCGGACGACGGCTACACCTCCACCTCCACGGGGGCGTCCACGGGTGAGTGAGCGGACACGGGGTGGCGGAGTCCGCGTGCTGGTGAAGCATGCACGTCCCCCGAGGGCGTCGTAACGTAGCACGTAACGGAAACGCTCAAAGCGAGCAAGTAAAAATTTAATTTTCAAAGCGTTCTTGAAAGCGGTCTCAGCTTTATAAAATCGTTTTGAGAGAGCACTGAAAAATTTCCAACAACGATTAAAAAACCCATTAAAGTTGCAATTTTATGTTGCGGTGCTATGCGTTCTTACAAGTTACGTTACGACGCCCTGAGCGAACGCGCGGTATAGCATTCATGAGGTGATGTAGATTAAATTTTCGCGGCGGAATAACTTATCATTATTCCACTCACAAGTGAAGCTGGGGTGGCCGAACTTCTTATCAGCACGCACGTAGGGGTCGTCGTACCCATACTACGTGACCACTTTTGGCCACTTTTTGACACCCCCCCCCCCCTCCGTGACCTACCTAACCTATGTTATAAGGATAGGACGTAGTATACTTGGCCTGACTCCCCCTCCCCCCAAATAGGTCACGTAGTATGGGTACGATCCCATGCCTGTTTTTATAGTAGAGCGTACTCTCTGGGTGTTGAGTCGTGCCAAAACTCGAGCCCTGAGGAAATTCATTAGCAACCCATCCAAATACAGTTTTCACGGGAGAGGGGGGTTGACTGTGTGGGGGGGAGATCTACATCGCATGATTGGGTAACGCGTGCCGAGGTCGGCAACGTCCCGCCCCGCCCCGCCCCGCCACGCCCCGCCACGCCACGCCACGCCAGGCAAGCTCGAGGACCAGTCGTCATTATACGTGGAATGTTAATCTCCGGCGTGCGCCTCGCAGGGGGTGGGGTGGGGCGGGGTGGTTTGAAACGGGTGGAGTTGTGGCGCTAACGAGGCCTGCCTGGCTGTGCTGCTCCAGAGACGTCAGCCAACACCACCCCCGCCGACCAGAGCTCGACCCGCCAGCGCCGTGCCACAACCAGTGCCAGCAGCACCGCCAGGGAGGCCACCACGGACGTCAGCGTCGACACCTCTGTGCCGGTGAGTACCTACCTCCAGTCTCCAGGAGTGACCCGGGACGGCATCACGAATCATGAGAAATGTTCTTCTTCGTGACGTTGCAGGCGAGCAGCACCGAGGGCCCGAGTGAGCCGCCGACCAGCCTCGAGACCGTCAGCGCCAGCCCCGCCGTCGCGGCCACGTCCTCGGGCGCCGCGGCCCCCAGCCAGGCCGGCACGCCCAGGCCTGATGGCTCCTCAACCCCGGGACCGCGAGCCGACACGCTCATCGTGGCGCGCAAGGATGACCAGAAGGATGACCGGAAGGCCAGTCCGGCACCGGAAGTCGCACCGGCCGCGGCGTCGACTGCAACTCCCCAGGCGCCAGCCTGGACGCCTGAGGACAAGGTGATGACCTCGACCACGACGCCAGCCACGGCATCTTCTCACTTCCACCGACCCTCAGCCTAACCTGTTCGTCTCGATTGCAGCCCATCATTGTTCCCATCGTGGCTAAGAAGGGGCCCAGCTTCCCCAAGAAGGTGGCTGCTGCCAACGCCAAACCCTTCCGGCCCGAGAAGATCCCCCTCAAGCTGCGCGCGCCTACCGCCTCGCCCGCCAGGGTGGCTGACACCCCCGCCCCGGCCAGGCATGCAGCCGCCAGTCTGAGGCCCGTGGCCGAGGTCGAGGACCCCGTCGACAAGGCGACCTCCACGGGCGGCGTGGTGCCCGAGGAGGACGAGGAGGACAAGCAGGCATCCCAGCTAGCTCCCGCAGTAGATCTCGTGAAGGTCCCCGCAGCTGTGAATACCGACTCGGACAACAAACTAGACGAGAGCGAGTTCACTCACCACATGGTAAGTGTCAACCCGTGTCAACGCTCCGCACTTCAGCGTCCCCAGAGCACTTGCAGTCCTTTGACGGTGTCCTTTCGTGCTCTGCAGGCTGGCGACGCAGCGGACGACCTCGACGACGCCCTCATGATCCGGGAGCTGTCCAGCGCCCGGACGCCGCTGATCAAGTCCGTGCCGCTGGTGGACGTGCCTCTGGACGAGCCCAGGACGGCCCCCGCCACCGCCCAGCCGGCACCGGCGACACGAGCGGCGACCAGCGCACCTGCTTCCAGTTCCAGCGCACCTGTGTCCAGCGTGCCTGCTTCCAGCGCGCCTGCGTCCGCGGCGAAGCTGTCCAAGGAGAGTCCCATCTTCTTGTCACTGCCTGCCGGAGGGCGCGTGGAGCGGAGGCCACCGGTGAAAAAGGATGGCCTCCCTGCAGCCATAGCGGGCGCCGCTGTCACCACCACGTCCACAACCACGACTACGACCACGACCCCCGCGCCCCCGAGCAGCGCGGCCACGCCTACGACCACCGCCGACCCCAGCGCCACAACGGTCTCCCAGATCCGCCTAAGGGAGTCCATGGCCGGCCCCGGCGGCAAGGCCAGGACGCTGACGACAGCCCCGCCTGCTCCAGAGTCGGGCGCACCGGCCGCCGCCACCATCACGACTACCACCACGACCACCACGACTACCACCGCCTCTCCAACAACCACCTCCAGGTAAGCAATGAGCATACCTCGGCAGCTAAAATAATTGATAAATCATTGTGAAAACAATAATAACGGTTGCGCTCTTCTCTGCCAGCACGGCCGCGCCAACGGCGGCGTCGGTCACTGCCACGACGGCCGCTGCCCACAACTCGTCGACGGCCGCGGTCCATCACGCGGCGTACCACCCCACCAGCACCGCGGCGCCCGCGTCCACGGCGCGCCCCGAGCCCGCCAACGGCGCCAACGGCGAGGCGCCCAAGGAGCGGCGGCGGCAGCACCTCCCGGCGCCGCTGCTGTCCATGAACATGAAGCCCGAGTCGGAGGACGGCGAGGAGGGACTCGAGTCCGAGCCTCAGTCGCCCCCGAGGCCGAATCGCAGCCGGTCGCTCGTCAGCCACCAGCACCACAACTTCTACCCGTACTTCCTGAACAGGGTGCTGGGGCGCTAAGGGTGCGCGCGGGAGCCCTCCTGGTAACTGCCGCGAGCCCCGCCACCCCTACTCTACCCTCTCTTCCTCTCGCTTCTAACGGCGTCCGACGGCCAAAGGCTGGCGAAGCCCGACGCCCCCCGCCCCCGCACACCCCGTGCACGTGCACGCCCACCCGGACAGCACGCGCATAGCACACCCGTCCACGATTTTTTTGTATTGCTGTAAAGGCACCGCGCACCTGACCACGTACGTCGAAAGTGCTTGTCCCTTCCCGCACCCCCACAACCTCGCCTGCTTAGGCAGAGAGAAATGTTGAAGAATGAGTAATCTTTAAAATGACAGCATCACTGGAACCAGGGAAAAGAAAATTTACCTGCTGGCATCACGCTATCGGTTTCGTTCGGGCGTTTAAATTTTGATAAAGCAAATCATCTGTGTGTTGCCCTGCTGTTCAATATCTATTATTTTCTGTGGTACTAAAGGTATCAGGCATCCAACAGAGTGAGAGAGAGAATAAGAGAGGGATGGATGGAAGGATGTGATGAGAAAACCCCATCCAGCCCAGCTAAAAAAAATAAGCACTGAGCAATCTTGGGCACTTTAAGTGGGTTTCTTCCTTTGTCAACAGTTGGATGTGCATTTATACAAGTTTGATATGCATTTCAACTAACTGGTGTTAATGTGGCATTAGTTTAAGAAAGAGTCAGCGTCTGGAATGCATGTGTGCTTTCCATTAAGTACTCCTGCGCTCGACGCCCCAACAAAATTGATATTGTCACTGTCTTACAAGAAGCCTAGTTCCTCAGTTTACTTTCATTCATTAACCTTACATTAATTCAAAAGAGAAAACATTTTGGTGGTGTGAATGAGAAGCCTTTTTGATGTGAGGAATGCTATTAGTATAGAGATGTCTCAACTAGATAGCTTGCTGTTAGGCAGGCCCTTGGTAAGCTATTTTCATGGTTAGAGAATTTTAAAACAATCTGAGTTTATATGGAGAACAAGTGCAGGTCATGAATGAAAATTGAGATAGTAGTATATTGTGTACATATATTTGTGAAGGCAAATCAATCTTGTTCTGTAATTTTTCATTTCATATTTGAATTTATTATTTGTTAGATGCTCTCACAAAACTTTACTGACACAATTATTGTGCCGACAGATATGAAATTTACATTTTTATACCATTTCTAGAGAGTCACGGTATCTCACAACATTCCATCAGCTTAAAATAATTTTCAAGTCAGTAAAGAAGCCCCACTTTCAGCATAAATTTGCTTCCCGATCGACACTTAACTAGAAACAAAACTGTTCTTTCAAAATAATGTTTATGATGTTGAGTGCCAATGTATAAGCTCCACATACAATTTGCCCCTTTTAGAAAATAAAAAGTTACGAAACAGTTATGTACCACTCTTTAAAAAGAAATCATGCCGATAAAGAGATTTTGCGGATAGAGAAACCATGCGGATGACTTACTTTTTTTCAGTGTACTACTGTTCCGCAGCTTTACTTAGACCTGTTGATCAATTTTGTCAGAACTTAAATATTTCCTATGTGCTGATAAAAAGCACAACACAGCAGCCTATACACAGCAAAACACCCTGCACTCTTAGGTCATAATGCATGAAGTTTGTGATAGTCAGGCGCTCAAATGACGTCAGTTTAGGAAGAATGGAGCAAATGTCGCCAAAGCTGTACATGTACAAACTGTTGTTAGCCTATTAGATTTTAAGAATTTGTCATGACTTACCAAATACCTTCTATGTCACAGTAAAGCTAATATATTAGTTTTAAAAATTTATCTCAAATAAATGCAGAGCATTGTGAAGTTTTGTATGGCAGAAAATAAAGGAGTATTAAAGAACACTGTTTTAATCTTTTACCATTTCCACGCTCTTGTAAGCAGAAGCACTGGGCGGGAACCGCTTTTTTGGGGGGGGGGGGGGGGAATGCTCGGTGACTCGATTCCATGCTCTAGTCAAGGCCTGTGCCTTTTCAGTCGCGGCCTTAAGCTGGTGTGACTATAGTGTGGCTAAATCCACCATAACGGCCCCTCCCACTTCAGGGATGATCTAACAGCAACAAACACTCGACCAATCAGGAACGTGTGGTCTACCCACTATTCCTCTCCCTCGGTTGAACCACGACTACTAGACGGAAGGAAGGGGTGTAGTGACGGCCACGTTCCCAAACCCTCTGTCGATTCACTTGACGCGAGAGCGAGAGAGGCGTTTGCATTATACAGCGACCTTGCGATAAGTGAGTCGGGCAGTGGATTTCTCTCATCGACTCCTCATCCAACAGAGCTGCATGAGTCCCCCTGCGGCCGGCGCTGGGTGCTACGAGGGGGAGTTCCCGAGACGGCCGATGGACGTCGGGGAACTCCGCTGGGAGGATTTCCGACGAATTTGAAGGGGAGCACTAGCACTCCCTTCCTTTCGCCGTGGCTCGAGTGTGGGGGGCCGAAGTTTCAGGTACCTGTCGCCCCCGGCCTCAAACGCCATCACCATGTTGCCATATTTGCATTGCCGGGCCGCCAGCAGCCGCCAGTCTCGCGTCGTCTGCCTAGTGTTGTGCGTCGCACACGCCGGCCCGCCAGTCAGTGTCAGTTTGTGTCCGCGACGCGACCAACACGCCGTCTGCACGGACGATGCGTGATTGTGACAAGATTCTGATTACGGCTCGATAAAAATCATAATTTAGCTGCATTCCTCGTCGCTGTCTGGAGCACTCGAAAGGGCCACCTCCCCCCTCTCGATCAGCGAGCAGGTTAGTGTTGTGTTGTTGTCGAGGGGTACATCACTCCGATTCTGGGCGTACACCTACTTTTAGTCGATTTTTTTGGGCCGTGACTTTTTGACTTTTTTTGACTTTTTTGTACTTTTATTTGACTTTTTTTTGACTTTTTGATCAAATTTATTTGACTTTTATGATTTTTTCGCTGCTATATTTTTAAAATAAGGGAGAGTTGTGATTTTTGGGCTAGTAATAAGGTTTTTCCAAGACTTTTTGGTACTATTTGTAGCATGAATCGAATAAGAAGAAAATTCGTCATCAGAGTACACCCCCTAAGTAAGAAAAGCAAGGTATTTTCAGTATTTACGTTTTTTGGTAAAGAAATCCCATGAATTCCGATTATTTTATTTTTCTCACTTCACCCACCACCCACCCCTCTCCCTCTTTTAAAGACAGTGATCTAGGACTTTCTGATACAATCACAGTTCCGTAGCTTTTTGGCCTCTTACAGGCAGATATTGCACTCGCATGTTGACTTTTTGTTGATTTTTTCAGTGCCTTTTCTCTGACTTCTCGTTGACTTTTCGTCGACTTCTCGTTGACTTTCATTGACTTTTTTTGACTTTATTTGACTTTTTTGACTTTTTATTTGACTTTTTGACTTTTTTTGACTTTTCAAATAACTTTTTGACTTTATCTTGACTTTTTTCTTGACTTTTTTAATCGCGTACACCTACTTTTAAGAGTGGTGTACCCCTCGGTTGTTGTCCTCTGCTTTGAATTTGCACCAATCAGATGTATCATGGTTGCGGTTTTGCGGGTTGCGCCCCTTGCGCCGCGACGTTTTGACAGTCGTTGATACATCGATTTCCCACCTGTTTCAGTGTTCGACGCTCACCACCATGGCGGAGGCCTTCCTGCTCGCCCAGGACCCCGATCCCTACGACGAGGACGACCTCGCGCCCCGCGTTCGCGCCAGGTCCAACACCTGGCCGCGGCTGCCCCCGCGCCCCGAGCCGGAGCCCACCCCCGCGGCCGCCCCGCCACCGGACCATGAGGTGGTCGCGCGGCCTCGGGCCATGGACGTCATCGCGGAGGTGCCCCAAGACGACGACCTGCCGCCCGTACCATTCTCGAGGACATCGTCCTTCTCGTCGTCCTCCAGGCCCCGCAACGCCTGGGGCAACGCGTCCTACGCCGACCTGATCTCGCAGGCCATCATGTCCTCTCCGGAGCGGCGCCTCACCCTGGCGCAGATCTACCGCTGGATGGAGGAGAACGTGCCGTACTTCAAGGCCTCGTCCAGCAACGCGCCCGCGTCGGCCGCGTCCAGCTCGGTGGGCTGGAAGAACTCTGTGCGACACAACTTGTCCCTGCTGGACCGCTTCGTGCGCGTGCAGAACGAGGACAAGGGCCAGTCGTCGTGGTGGACGGTGGACCCGGACGCCAAGCCCGGCCGCGGCAGCCGGACGCGCCGCCGCGCCGCCTCCATGGAGACCTCCAAGATGACGGCGGAGCGCCGCGGCCGCCTGCTCAAGAAGGCGGAGGCCCTCCGCGCGGCCAAGCAGCAGGCCGCAGCTCAGGCCGACGCCCCCCAGGTAGACGCAACGCCCCCGGGGTCGGGCTGCCCCGCGGACCAGCTCGCCAGCAGGCTCGACAGGCACATGGCTCTGGGCGGCCCGCAGACGTACCTGCACCAGCAGGCTGATGTCCTGGGCACCAGCCCCCACCAGGGCTTCCACCACCTTTACTACGAGAACCTGCCGACCCTGCCACACGAGGACGCCATCCCCAAGGCCAACTTGTACTACCCGTCGTCGGGCTCGCGGCCCTCTTCATGCTCCTCGTCGCGGCCGTCGTCGCGGCCGTCGTCGCGACCGTCTTCGCGGCCATCGTCGCGGCCGCCCTCGCCCCCGCAGTTCCAGCACCTGCCCACCATCCTGCACCCGGCCAGCAGCCTGGACTCCTATGGCTCGCCGCCGCCGTACGAGCTGCCCACGGTGCTGCCGCCCCCCGTTGACCCTCTGCTGCTCCCCTCCCCCACCGTCTATCAGGTCTCGCGAGAGCCGTCACCCGTACTTTACCAGGCTCTCTCCACCAGCTCCTCGCCCCTCTACATGACGCAGCCATCCCCTCCGCTCTACAACGTGACCTCCAGCCAATCGTCTCCTCTTTACGCGTTGACCTCCGACCCCTCGTCGCCCCTCTACCAGGTGGTGTCCAACCCGTCATCACCCCTATACCAAGCCACCCCCTCCCCTCCCCTTTACCAGAGGACCCCCTCCCAGCCCGCATGCCAGCACGGGGGGCGCGGGGGGCCTGCTGCTTACTGCTGCGACGACAGCCTGAGCAGCCTGCCCCTCCTGTCGGCGGACAGCGCGCTCAACTGCGACGTGGATGCGGTGGTGCGCCAGGAGCTCATCCTGGAGGGCAACCTGGACTTCAACTTCAGTCAGCCGCAGGCAACCTCCCGTTACGCCAACACGCAGAACTGGAATATTTCAGGTAAATACCATATTAGTGACACGCCCCCATCTTGAGAAAGGCCCCACCCCGCACCCAACCAAGATGCCATTACTAATCCCACTGTTCTGTTACTAGTCTGAGCTGACCATTTTATGTTTGTTCCAGGTATCAAACAAGAAATTTAGAGCGTTTCACCATTAGGGTATTATTAACAATACCATTTAAATTAAGTTTATTAAAAATAAGGTATTTATATAAAAAGGCAACAATTCTAACAAAATGTTTGGAAATACCTTTAATAACTTGTCTCATATTTTGCTTTGCACGAAATCTTTTAGTGATTTCATCAGTACTTGACCTCGTAATTTTTGTGTTAATTTTCTGACTTAAATACTAAACGTGTTTATTTTGCTCATCTCAGTTTCTGGGAGAATAAGTTGACTAATACAATTAGTGCACTCGAAACCACTATTTTCTGTAATTTTTTCCAATGAGATTGGTTACATCCTCCTCATTCTCACTCTATACCTATTACATATTTCTAGAGATTATAGGACAAAGACAAAACAAAGGGACTACAACGAAGTTTAGAACTTTCTTTGGTAGGTCACATATATCATACGGATCACATAGTCTACGAGGAGTATGTTTGCGAGTTACTGTTTAGTTGAGGCCGAGGCGGGCAGCCCCAGTACGTCCTCCACGATCTCGATCATGAGCTCTAGGTAAGCCTCGTCGCTCTCCATCCAGCGCAAGATCATGTCGGCGCGTGCGGCTGACTCGAGCAGCATGGCGCTGCGCGCGGCGCTTTCTTTGAACGTCTCCTCCATCTCGGCCTCGTTGCCCCGGATCATGGGGTTGTACGCGCACGCGATGCCCCTCGCCACGGGCTCAACACGCGCGAGCGACGCCTTGAAGTCCTCCCAGCCGAAGTCCTGGGGCGATTCGGATGGAAAATTAGTTCCGGTACCATAACGCCAACGAGACTCGCGTGTACCGTCAAGTGACACCTGCCTTGCTCAGGTCGAGGCCGCGCTGCTGACAGAAGCGCACCAGGTCGTCGTGGTATTCCCTCACGAGGCTCTCCTCGTTCCGCTGCCGGTGCGCGCGGCGCATGGACGTCCGCAGGAACATGGCGACGTCGAGGGCCGGCGGGCCGAGGTGCACCATCTGGAAGTCCACCACGATGGCGTGCGCCACCTGCCCCTGCGGAAGAGCGCCGCGGTCGTCAGTGGAGAAGCGATTGACCAAACAGCACCTCCAAAGGCGACCCTCCCGGAGGCTCCCTCCCGGAGGGTCCCTCCCTTACCTGGCTGTCGTGCCTGACGAGCACGTTGTTGGGCCACACGTCGCCGTTGCTGATGGCGCGCACCGCCTCCCGCTCCCGCAGCTTAGGCAGGTCCATCTCGGTCCAGATGTCTCGAGTCAGGTCCTGCAGGCGCCTCAGCTCAAACGCCGTCTGGGGCACCTTGAGCCTGGCGGGGCAGACATAATGTTACCGGGAGGTGGCCGGGAGCGCCCCCCAGCAGGGCCCGCCGCGTCCCCTCACTGCTCTTGGGCCGTCCACCAACCTGGAGAAGATGCGCGGCAAGATGTACTGGGCGACAAGGTCGCTGGCCACGTCGAAGATCCTCCTGCCGACGATGCCCGGGCGGCGGGTGAGGAAGTTCTCCTCCATGAGCTCCGGCACCTCGGCGGCCAAGTCCACGCCGCAGACGCGCTCCGCCACCAGCGAGGACGCGTGCAGGCGCGCCAGCGCGCGCAGGGTCTGGCCAACAGACACGAATCATCAGGCCCCAAACGAGTGCTCCCAAGGACGCGGCCGTGTAACGTGAGTAAACTTGAACTTGTCGGGTGCCGACAAATATTTGGCGAGGGACTAGTTGTGCTTACTTACTCAGACTATTCAAATACGTTTCGCCATTGTCTGCAAACGAGACCAGGTGCCATGTGGTCTGGTGCAGCCGGCCTTATCTGGGCAATCACCCCCGCGATACCCAGGTATTTAGGGAACATATCACACTCCACGCTAAGTCACCCGAGCCCTCGCCCCCGCCCCCCTTTCCCCCTCCGACGAAAACAGTGAGACGGTATACATCACCACCACGGGTGGCGCGGTGGCATTCACAACGACACGCACCTGCTGGACCGTCTGGTAAGGGATGTCGTTCCATTGCCAATCCGAGATGGCCTTGTACCCTCGACGCGTTAGGTCCTCCATGACGACCACCGAGTCCGTGCCCAGGAAGGCCGCGGCACCCACGCGGCTGGCGGCGTGCTCGTCGGACTCCGCCGCCTGTGAGGTCAGATCGGCGGATAGTTAGTCACAGTTTTGGTCATTGCCGGCGCCGGCGGGTTTCACTGGTTTCACTCAGCAGTCACCCGGCTGACCTTCACGTTGTTCCAGGCCTTGTCCAAGTGCGGGAGCACCGACTCGTAGAACAAACCCTCCCGTTGGAAGGCCTCGAGGCCCTCGACGACCTCCTTGGTGTTCTCGCGTTTGACGAACAGGTGCAGCGTGTGGGGGCGGCCCTTCACCACGGCCTTGACGGTCATGCTGCCGCACTGCGAGAGGTACCCTTCGGAAGCGGCGCCAGACTTCTGGAAATGTCGCGTTCAAAACGGACACTTAGTGCGAGGAAACGAGAAGGAAAAGAGGCACTTTTGGATCGGCGAGTCTGAATACCTCGGCGCCCAGGTCGAGGTTCTCTAAGGCGGCGAGGTCGCAGCACAACGCGCGGCACACGGCCGTCTCCAGCTCATGCTGCTGCAGAAGGGAGGGACTCCGGACGAGGGTCGCGCTGCAACGGAGAGGGTGTGTATGTAGTCTAGGACTACCTGCCGCCTGCTGGTCCCATTTCCGTGCATATCAACCATGACATTATCATGTGGCTGATTCGCCCCGCGCACTTTTGTAGTCATACTACTGTACCGCACGCAGGCGTATGGGCGGGCTTGGCCATCGCCCCCTGACCATGGCGCCTGACGGGTCGAGCGAGTAGGCAACCCACCTGACGTTGGATTGCGCTACAGCATAAGTAGCACCGGAGTGCACGGGGGAATCAGCCACCTGGGTATAAAGCGACCTGATTCGGTGAAATTCTCTTGTGGTGGCAGCTAGTATGTGTAAGTGTCCGTTCCCTCCAATCGAGTGTGTTGTTGGTCTTACCTGAGAGACATCCTATCGTTACGGAGGCTGCGGGTAGAAAAGGCTACCGACCACGGGCACGGGCGCTGTAGTTATACGCGGAACTTATCTACGCGCCGTCACTGTACTGATAAGGTCGTGCATTGGGGAGAGACGTGCGTTGCATCAAAAACAGCGAAATAGTAACTTGTGCTGTATGACATCACCTTATCACCTGCTTGAATAAATTGACAAATTGTCGCAATCTCTCCACCCAGTCTCTGGGTGCCGTGCAGACGGGCGTTAGCGGGCATCTGTCCCGCGCGCAAACAGCCCGATGCAGCTGGCGTGACAGGGAAGTCCATCGGCAGCGTCATCGGCTCGATGGCGGCAGCTCCAAAGCTTCCACGAGGACCGCGACAAGCAGGCCGGGAGCGCGTAATAAAGCATTCTGGTAAAGCCGAAATGCAGAAGAATGCGGGGAAGAAGAAAACGGAAATCCCCATGCTATAACAGGGTGGCGACTTCCGTTTTCTTGTTCCATGTATTCTTTTGCATTTCAGCTTTACCGGAATGCTTCATTACCAAGCCGTGGCGAGGTGCAGCAGAGCGCACTCTGTGAACCGGGAGACCGTTAAGGTGTCCGGCAGGTGGCTACGACCTGGGGCTGGGTGACTCCTAGCCGCCTCCGAGCTTGCCACCCGCGGGTGTGCCAGCGAGACAGACGGCAAACAGACGAAGAAAACAGCCCCGCATTCACGACTCGCGACGACCTCATGACAGTACCGACTCGTCGTCGCGCCGAACGCCGCCGTCGGCGCGCCCCCACGGCCCCGTGCAGCAGCAGGCGGCGGGCCAGCCCGCTGGCTGCAGCGGTGCGCGCCCTGAGCAGGACGTGAACGTCTCAAGGGCACCACCTCGTGCATTCTGGCTCACCTGCTGTTCCACGGTGTTCAGGCCTAGCAGTCCGCCAGCAAGCGGCAGCAGCGACTATACCGAGGCCCTCCATCACGTCCAACGCCGCCAAGCTTCGCATGCGGGACGCGCCGCCTCCGACCGCAGTCCCATGAGATCGGGAAGCGAGGCCGAGAGCATGTCTTCCCTGACCAGGTCCCTGACCAGGTCCCCGACCAGGGTGGTGGAGGGCGGAGAGGCCGCGAGCCGCAGCACTCGGTGGCCACGAGCTGTCGACCTTGCTAATCTGGTGGCGGGCAAAAACAGCTCTGCGAGCGCATCGGGCCCGGGCAAAAGATAGAAAATTGAAAATTTTGCTGTAGAAAAAGGCAAAAATTGTCTTTGGAAGTTAAACGGCCGTCTCATAATACCGGATTGCACGAAGGGAGCTTCCTGGTCGTGTTAGAACAAAACAAATGGACGACTGGTTTGCTGGCAGATATTGTCGGACCAGGTGCCCGCGCCATCGTCCGTTATCTGACAATAGAAATAAAATTGGGGCGTATCTGCAGGGATGGGTCACGTTAATTTATTTTCGGAAGAGGGCTAGAAGAACAAAAATTAGTGCAACATACCGGGTAGCACATGTTGTGATACGTTGAGGGAGCGAAAAGAGATAAGATTCGACCAAATCTTCCATTCGAGGAACTGTCTAAAGTTTGCATAAGGGCACATCCTGAAGGAAGTAAACAAATGCGGCTTTAGTAAGCCGGTCTGTAGGGTCTCGTAGCATATCAAGTTACTTGACTATTTGAATTTACGATGTTCATTCACTGTGTAGCTCTGAGTCGGGAGGGGTATAGAGTTGCGGGATTGCATACTCGCTGGCTGCAGGGGCAGGGACCATGGCGCCTCTATGGCGGGAATAGGCAAACCCGCAACACTGGGGCGTATAGAGATCCTCTAATGGTCACGTGACCCTAGCACCCGAGTGTGACTGACTCTGTGTTTTTGTTTATTTGTGGAAGTCAAACTGTTGGAACTCAGACTTTAAGCTATAAGAGAGATGTTGGAATACAAAATAAAATAAAAAAAATAAGATCTGTTTCAGTGCAAACCGACACAACTTCAATCGACATGGACAACCGCAACAATAGAATTGCAAGCCTTGAGAAAAAAGTCTCCTGCCTTGAGTTGCGTGAAGAGTTCTTTAAAGAGAATGATGATGCAGCAAAGTTTTACACTGCACTGCCAAGCTATGATCTCCTCCTCATTTTTGATTTTGTTTGTGATTATATTCCTGTCACAAACCGCTCCTCTCTTACTAAGTTCCAGCAGTTCCTCTTGACCATGATGAAGCTAAGGCTGAATCTGTTCTTTACAGATCTAGCCTATAGAGTTTGTGTGTCTGAACAGACAGCATCTCGGATCTTTAACTCCACTGTAGGGATACTGTACAGTAGGCTTAAGAGAGGCGTCTTTTGGCCGAATAGAGAGGTGCTATGCCTCTGACCTTTGAAGAAGCATTTGGAAAGTCTGGGTCAGTCATCATAGATTGTTTAGAAATTTTTTGTGAGAGGCCTAATCTGGAAGCATTAGGTGAGCCTTTTTCGAACCACAAGCATCAAAAAATTCGAAGTACCTCATTGGCATAACTCCCCAAGGGTTCATTTGCTACAAATCTGAAGGCTTTGTAGGGAAGGCATCGGACAATTTCGCCACTGTTAAGAGTAAATTTTTAGAGCACTTAGAACCAGGGGACAACATATTAGCTGACGGTAAGCTTCTATTGTGCAAAGGTGATAATCCCCGGATTAATCCCCCGGAGTCAAGAAAGATCTTCAACAACTTAGTCCAACTGAAGTGGAGAGAACTCGTACATATTGGCAAATGTCCGTGTCCATCGTGTGAGATAGTTATTGGGTCTCTTCGACAAAAGTACACAATTTTAGGTGGTACTGTACAACTTTGTTAAAAAAAAGACCATGTTTTGTTGGATGAAATTGTACATTTGTGTTGTTGCTCAATTAATTTCTGTGGAAGTTCTACGCCATTGCTGTGTTGACTGAAACCGTATCAACCTGATTGGGGAACATAACAGAGGTTGTAAAAATTTTAAAAATGTAGATTTTTTTCGAAGACCCTGGGAAGTCCTTCCCCTCCTAAATTTTTCATTAATGAAACCGAGCGCAAACGTCTTCTGCTGGTGCTACACGCTATTATGTTCTGTTCTTTATCGGTATACAAAAAGCATGCCTCATGAAAGATTGGGATATATTTATTGCTTGAATGGACGCAGACAGAATTCCGATAAAGAAACTAGGGATGTCTTAGAAATAATAGGTTCATTGCTTGTGTCCACCTCTTCAACCTTACGTCACGTCACAACCCTTCCCACTCTCCCTCCGTCTCAACCTATTCTCTCACTCACTCACTCTCAACTCAGCAGTGTGTAGATAAAAACATGGCGACTGCGGTCAAGTTGTTTTCCGTCGCTAAAGCAGGTAGATTTGTTGTTATTCGCTATAAGGGAAAGTCAAGGCGATATTTTATGAATTTTTTGGAATTGTCAACTTTCATTTAATGTATAAGTGTGGAGAGGCACTGTGACAGACAATATTGCTTTCAATTTTGATCCAAATTGCTTGGTCTCCGCTGCCGACGTTTAATATTTCGCCATTGCCTTTTTTACCACTATTTTGTTCATATATTTCATATTTTATCATTTTCAGAAATATCTTAAAACTCTTATCCATTTGAATTCCGACTTCTGGACTCATGATTCTGAAGAAGTGCCAGAAAGAGCTCTAGACAATTTTAGGTTATGTTCTTTTCTGTCTTGTTTCAGGCATCTCGCCTGTTAGGCCAACTGTCCTTGTTCGCATGCTTTCAGCGAGTTCACCACAGAACTCGTACAAGAATATTAGTACACCTGAGATTAAAACTGACTGGGGGTCTGTGTGGGACAATGCATGGTCATCTATGGCGATGAGGGAAATTCTGGTTGGTATGTATCAAGCTGCCCAATATATTTGTGACATCAAGTTTCCAATGTCTAGCAAGTGTTTTGATTCACAGGCTTTGGCCTTACGTTGGGCGTTATGTTCAGAGAGCCTGCAACTATTAACTATCCGTTCGAGAAAGGGCCTCTAAGTCCCCGTTTCCGTGGTGAACATGCATTGAGACGCTATCCTTCAGGCGAAGAGCGTTGCATTGCTTGCAAATTGTGTGAAGCTATCTGCCCAGCACAGGTTTGTATATTCATTGTACAGTTACATTTAGAAAAGTAGCAATTACTCAGCCAAACTAAAACTATTCTCTTTATGCTTAGGCAATTACAATTGAAGCTGAGGAACGAGCAGATGGTAGCAGGCGAACAACTCGTTATGACATTGACATGACCAAGTGTATATATTGCGGATTTTGTCAAGAAGCTTGTCCTGTTGATGCTATAGTTGAGGTAAATTCGTCACATAATTTTCATCACTAGGCCATTCCAGAGACTGGTGTCCATTGGTAACTCAATTTGTGAGTTACTGAGAAATGCTACGGATTTGTACAAGACATGACCAGATCTTGAGATTGTGATTCTGGACATGTATTTCAAAACAACGTAGTGCCTCTCATTCGGCCACAAATCGCGTCACGCACGGACATTTTTAACCACTAGCAGAAATTAATATTGCCCATGCTATATGCTTCATTTGTGACTATTCTTTCTTTTTTTTTTCCAGGGTCCCAACTTTGAATTCTCAACTGAGACTCATGAGGAATTGTTGTACAACAAAGAAAAGCTTCTTGACAATGGAGACAGATGGGAGCCTGAAATTGCTTCCAACATTGCCGCAGATCACTTATATAGGTAGTTCTTGAATGTTGTCCAATAATGCAAAATTTTAGCAAACAGATTTTGGCTTCTTGGATTATTCACTCCATTGCAAGTGTAAGTGTAAGTGTCTTATTAGCATCAATTACAGGTCTGTTAATGTACCCAATGTTCAAAAACTTTAAATGAAATTTGTAAATAAAGTATACTTATGACTAAAATGACCTAAATGAACGCAGCAGGTAGGAAAGAGTAATGGAAGGAGCGGACCCAAGGATTCTTAGTTGTACCAAAGAACACAAGTACAAGAACTGTATGCACTCAACTTGCTTTATTTATGGTCAGAGCAATGACCTCATTGCGAAAAGCAATATATTGAACTTCTAGTAGGAACTAAAGTCACACTGAAGATACACTCAATATTGCATGGAGAAACATGCTAATATTGAACTTTAATACACACTCAAATACTGGAATTTGCAACTAAACTGGCCAAGTTATGACCCCCTTAAAAGATATGCAACACCAATTTTCCAATAAGTGTACAAATAATTGAAAGTCGAAGGTAAAATACAGGAACCAGCAACCATACAAACCACTTCAACACCAAGGAAGCTACACATAATTAATTCAGAATATTTGGAAGACATTCCACCAAATGAAAGAGATAAATACAACCAAGCACACTGGGGCTTTCCTGAAAAATGGTCTTAGCAATATCATACCTGTTAAAAGTGCTGTCTTTGAACTGATAATTGTAAAAATTGAACACAAACTGTCTTTTTCGTGAAAACAATGACCACACATCTCACAAAGCTTTAGGGACAGTCATAACAAGCAGTACAAGAACAAAACGTAAAATCAGCACCACTTCACTCAGAAGTAAAGCAAAGAGATTATTGCATTGCTGCAAAAATGAGTGACTTTGAGCAAACTTTGTGGAAAAATACAAACATTCCTCAGGAATGAAAAGATGATACTCAAACAGGAACTCACGAGTAATTTATCATAACATCTCTGGAATATTGACAAAATCGCAATCCGATATCTCTTTCACAATATATAGTTGTTTTAATACAACAGTGATAAATCTACAAACACGGAAATTCTGCACACTTATTTACAAATTGGGTAACTAAGAAACAACTTGTATCACAAGTCATAGCAAGACATTATCAAATGTTCATTACATAGCATCGAGTAGGGTGTAATTATACATCCATGGAAACTGAAATGCACATTAGATTACATAAAAATTTTCTTTTTCAAAATAAGGCAGCAAGAAATATTCAATTTTATTTTTTTAGACCCCCATAAACAAAGATCAGTCCACATCAAGCAGAATGAAAAATGGTGTAGCAATTAAAATACATTGCTCCTGGAAATTACAGTACTCTGACTGACTAATGCATGAATGCTCACTAAATCAGACTTCAGAGAGAGTTCTTTACAAAAATAAGCACTTCTGAAATGATTGAATGGATGGATCTTGCTAATGGATGATATTTTACTTGCCTTACTTTCCAACAGGTATAAAGTACTGTAAACAGTTTCCATCATTACACTTCTAAGTCAGACTAGAAAAACTTCATCATAGAAAGGCACTCTATTGCAAGCCATACTGAATATTTCAGAGACCTAACAGGAATTTTGATCAGAACCTCAGTCTCAAGCTGATTCTGATTGACAGTAATAGGCTTGCTTCAAAGATGCATTTTAACTAACTACAAAATATTTTACATTTCTTTAAGAAAAAATGTTTTGAGAAAAAAACTTATTTTGTTGAAAGACTGGAGACGAAAAAGCAAAATAGTTTCACTTTCAATAATGTAATCCCCAAATTGATATAAAATAGTCCCCATTCTGTTATTCACCGTATATAACCTTGGTCTTCGTATTTTATCTACGATTGAAATTTGGTGCCTGTAGCTGTACCAGGTAGCTTTACCATCTGATTTCCCTTCACATAAAAACAAAACATACCTTAACTAGATAAAATATATTAACTCCAGTTGTCTGGCCTTCACATTATAATTGGAAACGAAAAAAAAAAAAAAAATGACCTCCTGGAAAGAAGTATACCAGAAAGCCAGTATATTCCCCAAGGGTAAATAATATTCATACATAAAATGAAAGTTACAATACCCAACTAAGACAAATTGGGCTAATGGCATATGATATTTAGATTGATTATTTTTATATTAGTATGACACAAAATCATCATTAATATAATGAAAACTCTACTTTGAACTTTCCTACTTATTTTGGAGAGAATTCCACAAATTCTACTCCACAGATCACAAAAAAAGTAAAAATGAGGAATGGGTACAAAACCTCTATGAATACACAACCTTGCAAAAATAAAAATATATTCATTGATAACCTTAATCCACAACAAAAATCATATAGAGAAAGAAGGTGAAATGAGCATTGGCACAGTTAGTCCTTAGACTTCTTGGTGGTCTTCTTTGACTTAGAATGAAGTCGTTTATGATAGCTCTGTGCAAGAGAGTTCACAATTGAAACAACAAAGTATATAATCATAGCCACAACAAACTTTTCAAAGATTGCTGATAATAAGTTTCCTTCCTGAAATGGCATTTAAAAAATAAAATTAGATTGAATAACAGCAAAGACTTCAAAAAAGTCTTAAACTTTAAGAGACAATTCTTACCGATCCTGAAGGTGATTCACTTCCTTTGCGATGGAGACGTTCCTTTTGTTTCACAAGGAATGCAGAGAAAGGCTGCTGTAGTCTAGGTCCAACCACAGGTACAGACCCTAATAAATCTACAGCTTTGGCAAGAAGTGTTTCATTAAATGCAACTATCACAAAAACTTTTTGAATGTGCATTTTAATAACTGCTTTCCCTAAGAGAGTAGCTCCAAAAAATGTCCAAAATGGGACAAGAAAATGACCACAGGTAATACCAGCAAGGTCAAAGAGAGGGTTAGGTATCTGAAAAACAAAAAGAACGGTTTGAAAGTACAATCCTGCTTACTCAAATACTGGTTGTTTGAAAAAGGAGTTACAGCTTACCGAAGCACATGCCAATATCCCAAAAAATCCAATTTTTTCGACTAGTTTTTCCACAAAGAGCTTCAAGCGGTCAACAGTGCTCTGTCGGAGAATGAGAAGAAATGAGAACAGTTAGCTAGCATGCATGGCAATTCAACACAAAGTCCAGTAGCACAAACACACCAGCAGCTCTGGGTTTTCTTTTTTTCGTTGAAGCTCTTCAAATTCTGCTAGATCATCTTCATCATCTGGGTCATATCCTGACAACCGAGCAGCACGTGCCATGAAATAAGGAGGGAGTTCTCCTAATGCAGTTCCAGCACCCCACATGAAACTTTCTACACGGACTTTGCTCATAATGTTCCATATGCTTGCAACCCATCTGGGATCCACAGTTGAGGGACACACAATCCTTAAAAATACAAAGAAAAGTTAGTTGCAGCACATTAAAAAAAAACAAAAAACAGATGCTAATGCACATTTTGAAAGTCAATTATACTTACTCATCGGGATATGGAGGCTGAGGAAAATTCAGACCTCCACATTCATAAGCAGCCAAGGTGACACTTGCAATGTGCGGGCCTAAGTACAACAAAAATGTATGCAGCCCGGTTCCCAAGCCAACCGAAGACAGCACACCTAAACCAACCCAGTATAGACACCAGGATATTTCAGATTTTCCAGCTTGCATATACTGTTAAAATATAGCCAAACGTTTAGTTGTTTGATCATCAAAAAGTCATTTCAGGAAAAGTGAGTTTCAATCTTTACCTGTTGATGAGGACCCGGAATGACATAGAGCACATAGAAAGCTGCACTGACTAGGATTGTTAAAAACACTGTGAGCCGGTGTTTTAAAAGTCTGTAAGTTAAGAAAGAGATCTCTTACATGTGTAAAAAACCAAAAGAAAGAACCATATATAACAAGATAATTGTGAATACTTACGTATGTGCATATGTGTAAATATTAATCCATAGCTCACAGCAGAAGAAATTTAGGGTCTTTAATGGATGTCTCCACAAAACTAAAGACTCACGCTCCTCTCTCTCCAGCTCTCGAGTCTTTTCATCTATTGAGGATATCATTCCTACTAAATTGTTATCACCATTCGCTTTATGGTGATTTTCTGGTAAACTAGCTGAAGAAAGAGGACTTGTTGGTACAGAATCAGTCCTCCGTTTCAGTGGAGCAGACATATTGTGAGACAACCGCTGCAGCTGAAACATACATTAATGAGGGTGTTACAAAATATGACGAAATGTAGTGCAGGATATTTGATGCAAGCACACAAAATTTTGATTGAACAGAAGTTAGCATAGGGTTAATTGGGTACATAGATTCATCCAACTTAACTCAACACATGAAATTGTATGAAATGACCGAGTAAAGATAGTAAAAATAATAATAGCAACAATAGAAAAGCAAAATGCAAATGTACAAAAGAGTGAACAAATCTACAAATGAAAGATTAATGGTGTATTTAAAGGAATAGGAGTCATATTTTTTTTTTTAAATCAACATAAAGTGCTTAACTATGTAATCTATTTTACGCTAATTTTTTGAAGTCAGACATGCACAAAACAAACAATACCTACATCAGATGTTGAAGCAACATCTTCCTCAACTTCACATTCTACAACTACATAGTCACAGGACACTTGTCGACTGACTGGCATACATACTGGGAACATGTCTACAATCAAAGTAGTCAAATCTAAAAATACTTTCCAGTAAAACCAGTGATAACCAATATTTATTCCTTCATCATGAAATAGTGAACAGGCTTTGAGGTGAACAACACCATCCAAGATGAAAGGTCGCAAGAAATAAACATGCCAGGCATGTGAAAGATGACCTGATAGCAGATGGGGCCAACAGTGAGGAAGATGGAAGGGGAGGGAGGAGAGGGGAGGGAAGGGAGAGGAGAGGAAGCAAAGGGAGGAGAAGAGAAGGGAGGGGAGGGGAGGGGAGGGGAAGGGAAGGGAGGAGATGCGTTTGGGAAAGGGGGGGAGGATGAGTGAATGTGAGATAAAATACTACAACCAGAGAATAGTAGCCTATCACAGAGGAAGATGAGTTTTGCTAGACGGAATTTGTAAGCATTGTGCAATAGAGAACATCTAGAGAGAAATAAATAAATATGACAAACCAGCAATTTGGTAAAACAATCTCGAGTCTTGAGTGAATAAAGACGTGACTTCAAACACTACAAGATTATATCTGAGCATTTTCCTAAGCAGTTTGACATTATGGAGCAGGTACCACTACAGTTTAAAATTAAACTGTAAGGTACCTAACAAATGAAACATACACCTCCCATTTCAAAAATCAATAGAATAGAATAACTTATGAAGAGAAAAACTAAAGATAACAAAAAAAAAATCCCAACTACGTGATCAGTTATAATATACAAAGTGAACTAGCTTTGTATTACTAGACTTCCACTAAGACTTGCAGCAACTTTTACTGGTGAATTTTCTCTCTAATATAGCTTTCCACTACCTTCAATAATTGAAACTTATCTACAATTTTAAAAAATAATTCAAAAGAAAGAAAGCTGCCAGAAATAACATGGTTCTCCCTCTATACCTTGATAATCTGCCTGAGCCTCCAAGTAGAAAAAGATCTAGATTTCCTTCATTTTTAAAGAAGAGGGCCACTTGTTTGGAAAAATAACTTCTGAGGAGAAAGAAGAGAATCATCAGAAGAGGTGTTGAACACTTTCAAACTTTGCACCTGACCTCACTGCACAAATTGCAATATCAACATCACAGTACTAAGCTTACTGTTTTACATTTGCTTACATTTAAATCTTCTCTCAGTAATCCAACAATACTCAGTAGAAAACTACAAAGCATGACAAATACAGCCTTGGTGTACAATTTCACAAATTTACGATCTGCAGGGAAAACTACCAACAAATACTGAAGTGAAAATTCATCTTGCACACAAAAAAGAAAAAGAAAAAAACAAAAAAAAACTGTGCTTACAAGCTTGTGCAAGTCACTAAATACTGTAACATTCAAAACCATACCAATTCCGTTTTGCTGCCCGAAGTCTTTATTCCACGACGTTTCAGTTCCCGCTTCAGCTGTTCTTTATTGAGCGATTGAAGATATGCTGCTTCGCCAGCATTTGCTTTCGACTTGTTGGAAGAGGTAGCATTGTTTTTCTTGGATACCATGATATTTCTCAAACCTGTAGAAACTGTGTCTTGAAGCTAATGGAGGTGCCTTAAAAGACAAGAAACAATGCCAAAGAAAATGGGTGGTCTTAATCTAAAGCAATTCTTTTATGAAAGCTTATGATAATTCGGAATAAAAGCATATTACCATGACAGGACAAGATTGTATAACTAGCAATTAATAATCAACAACTAAACTCTTACAATACGTTTCAACAAAATTAAAATACACATCTTAGAATAAGAATAACATGATGAATCAAACAGACTTTAACACACTTCGGATCTTGATTCATTTCCAGGCACAAACAGAGAAAGAATATTCGACACTGGGGAATGTGAAAAACAGTGTGATTTTGTGTCACAGTCAACGAACGTGCATCAGCGCTTTAAACTAGAACATCCTACCCCGCACAAAATGTTCTGTTGATTAATTAACCTCACCATACCAACTCCAGAGAGAAGTGGTAAAACATACGTCTTGCGTCTTTCAGCTCTGTGTCTTTGAAAAGGAGAAAGTGGCACTCCATGACTTGCCAGTGCTCAAGCAACATATCCATTCGTCTGTTCTATTGTGCTCTTGTTCTCATTCAACAAACCTTAAAAGGCCAGGAGTGAAGTGCGAAGGGCACTAACTATCTGTCACACCTTCGCGATTTGTCTCCAAGATGGGCAAAGAATAAACTTACGTGACAGTTCTTTCGTGAAATACGACTATACACCCACAAGCGTTCAATTAAGGTATGAGAACGTACAATTAAATAAAAATCAATCAAAAAATTCTTACATATGATGAAGCAGCGGCGACCAAAGACAGGCCCAGCCAACTGTATATACTGTATCCGGTTTGTTAGAGCAGCAGGGCGACTCCTGATACTGCCAACATGTAATGTAAAATTTGCAACACAATTGCGTCCTCACACGTCTTTATCTAAACTCTACACAATTAAACATAATTTATTTGTTATGCGCATCAGTTGAAAGACATTACAAAACGAATTGCATAGAGTTCCAAACAATTTGGACTATGAAGACAAGAAGCATACTTTCGAGCCGGCATGGCCTTTTTTTGCAGACTTGTGTAAACATATCGGTCTAAAACTGTCTGCTGGTGCGGCCTCCGGGGCCGGCGCCGGCTCTGCTGTTACGTGAAAAATAGAAATGTATGTGATTTGCATGGGGAAAGTGCTTCACTAAAACTCTGTTAGTGGAAAATCCATTATTAGTTTTCCGAAGCACCTACCGGTGCGACGAGCGGAGCAGCGGAGCAAGAGAAGATATTTTAACCTGTGGTCTGGTCAGCTGCTCCCAGTAACTAAGTATTGATCTTCATTTACAATTATTTGTTTCCCTTCTGTGCCATGACATGCTTTTTCCAGGCTGGTGCAGTGGATAGCAAACACCAGCAACCAAGAATTATTTACAGTCCCTCTCAGCAAACTCCATTTTATAAGCGATATGTGTGCCCCCGTGTGCCAGAATGAACACAATGGAAAAGTAAAACAAATGTAAGTCTTATATATTATAGGAATTTGTAAGCATTGTGCAATAGAGAACATCT